CCTTCCCTCCCGTCCCATCCTCTCCCCTTCCCTCCCCTCACCTCCCCTTCTCACAGGGCAGATAGGCAGAGTGGGTGGGGAGAGACAGGGGAATGGACGTTAGGGGTCTGGGTGATGAATACGGAGAACTACTGCAAGTCCTTTCTGTGGACTCCCCCACCCCTGATAAACGCCAGTACCGGAGTAAGCAGATCTTCTTTGCTTGGAACCGGAGCAGTGGTAGGTAGCTGGGGATGTCTCCCAAGGATTCTCTCAGTAGCTTCTCTCAGATTGCCAGATGGAATGTTTGCAAGTGCTGCCAAGGAAACACCAATTTCAACCAATGGGAAGCAGAGCCTACATGTTTTTTACTGCTTATGTTAATAACAGAGGGCAAGATGGGAGGGGGTGAGGGAGGAAGGGGAGAGCCAATCACAGCAATTGCCTGACCGCAATCATAGGACCAAGCCGTAGTAGCTATACCTAGTTTCTTTTCAGCAGACTATGAGCTTGCAGGGCCATGCCAGGAACAGTGGTGATAAGCCTCACAGCTGGTATGTATCCAGCATCCCTAGATATGCCAGTCACTGTGTTAAGCCTTCAGTGTGTGAAGTCATTTACGCCTCACAATAGCATTATGAGGTAGGTATTGGTATTTGCATATTACAGTTGAACAGACTGAGGCACAGCAAGTACTGTCCCAAACTCAAACCCAAAGCTGTCTGACTTCATTGGCTGAGCTTTTACTTTTGCATTTCCAGATTCGGAGGTTAGGACTTCCCTTGCTTACTTGATTGCTTTGCAAACCAAAAAGTATCTGAAACAGGTCTCAATTTAGCAGTTTATTTTGCCAAAATTAAGGACGTGTCTGGGAGGCAGGTCTCTGCCTTTCTCCAAAGATAACTTTGAGGGTTTCAGTATTTATTTATTTATCTAGAGACAGGATCTCACTCTGTCACCCAGGCTGAAATGCAATGGCACAGTCATAGCTCACCACAGCCTCAACTGCCTGGGGTCAAGTGATCCTCCCACCTCAGCCTCCCAGGTAGCTGGGACCCTAGGTGCCACCACCACACCTGGCCAATTTTTAAATTATTTGTAGAGACAAAGTCTTGCTCTGTTGCACAGGCTGGTCTCGACCTCCTGGGCTCAAGCAATCCTCCTGCCCCAGCCTCCCAAAGTGCTGGGATTACAGGCATAACCCACCTCGCCTGGCCAGGCTTCAGTATTTAAAGGGGAAGTGCAAAGCCAGGTGCAGTGGCTCACGCTTATAATCCCAGCACTTTGGGAGGCCAAGGAGGGTGGATAACCTGGGGTCAGGAGTTGGAGACCAGCCTGGCCAACATGGTGAAACCCCGTCTCTACTAAAAAGGCAAAAATTAGCTGGGCATGGTGGTGGACACCTGTAATCCCAGCTACTCAGGAGGCTGAGGTAGGAGAATCACTTGAATCCAGGAGGCAGAGGTTGCAGTGAGCTGAGATCGCGCCATTGCACTCCAGCCTGGGCAACAAGAACGAGACTCCATCTCAAAAAATAACAATAGTAATATATAATAAAGGAGAAATGCAAGCTTGAGGGAAGAGAGGGAAGGTATGGTCACATTATTGAATCCACATGTTGTGAGAGAAAAAGAGCAGGTAGGGGAAGAATCAATTATGTATTCATCTCCTACTCAGTAAACAGCACTTTACATAAGATAAGGTAAACAGAGTAGCTATAGGTGGAGATATTTAATCTTTTCTGTGTAGCTGTCCGCTTAGGAACAAAAAGAGAGGCAGCTTCTTGCATGACTCAGCTTTCAGCTAAATTGTTTTTCGT